GTGTGTGTGTGTGTGTGTGTGTGTGTGTGTGTGTGTAATATGTATTACATATATAATATTCATACAAATATATACATATATATGTTTATACATAAGACACAATATAGAATATTTTTACAAAGTTACGATTAATTATAAAACGTGAAAAGAAATGTGCTTATTTATATATTTCCGAAAATATGGAAAATAATTTCAAACTTAATATAATCCCATACTGCACAGAATTTGCAGCAATATTGCTGCAAAATCTGCGATATTACTACAACTTCGTGCTGTAGGGGATTGTTTATGTTATCTTTTGTTTAAAAATTATTTGCAACACAAGTGTGAAAGTTAGAGTCACTTGTTAAAATAATTATACACTTACATTTCCGCGCGCGCGCGCGCGCGCACACACACACACACACACACACACACACACACATTGTTTAATTTTTGGTATACAAAAAATATAATAAAAACATCTGCATTGTAAACTATACTTTTACTTCTTAAGAAAGATTCCCTTTATGTACAAGATATCAATAATTATATAGAAATTGTTGAAAAATATATTTAATAATGTAATAGATTTTAGTTCTAATAATGTAAAAGCAGTCACACACTTTAATTGTACTAACATTGTTCATGTACATCATGCATTGACATGTATTTTTTTATGAAGCCAGATATAAATAAATTCAAGCTTTTACGAAGTGTTTCTATCTGTCATCATCATCATTGTTCATCTTCCGAATTTATTCAACTTCAAAGGACTATGCCGTACAAAAAAACTTAAGCATCAATAAGTAAATCAATATTTTTTGGATTATTTATGTTATTGCTTTACGTTCTCTAATGTTATTGGCTGATTTGCTTACAACTTACGTATTGTCTTACGTTTTTTCTGTGTAAACTTAAAAGTTTCTAGTTCATATTAAATATTAAATAATAAATGTCGTAGGAAATAATTGCGCATCCATGTAAAATATAAAGTAGACTGCAGGTAAAAAGTAGTTTCAATTTACATCTGCCGCTAAAAGTATCAATCTAAAAATATCAAAAATATCCTCGAAATCTCGATTCAAATTTATCGATTTTAAACGCGGGAAAAGTCGATACTCGATTTATCAAATAATCGGCCGAGTGCGGGCCGACAATTCAGAATCTTCTGAATGATGTGGAATGATTTATGAAACCAAATTTGTGTTATTGTTTATTCCGACGCGTTGTATAGCGTCGCATTTCTGTTGACTCATAAAGGTTCGTTTTCGATTAAATTTCCCCTCGTCTAACCACAAAGATGTCTGTAAGTATGAATTGCACAACTCCACTTTTCTATAACCTCATTTAAAACTTATCCTCGAATTAACCTCATGGTTTTCTTTACAGGCGCCGAAACAGGTAAACTGTCACACATGTGCTTAATACTGAATTTCTCACAAATCTTAGTATATTTTTCAAATTTTTATAGCAACAGAATGTTGAGCACAAAGAGAAGAAGAGGAAAGAGAGCATTCTTGATTTGTCGAAGTATCTCGAGAAGAATATAAGGGTAAAATTTGCCGGTGGCAGAGAAGCTGAAGGTATCCTTAAAGGTTATGATCCTTTACTCAACTTAGTACTTGACAACACAAAGGAATATCTTAGAGGTGTGTGTGATGATTAATAACAATATTTCATTTAATTAATTACAAGGATGATTATAGGTTGTAGATTATAACCTTGTACGATTTTGCTTCTACTTATTAATCCTTCTTTATGTATGTATTTTGACAAAAGTATTAATAAATATGTGATATAGTGTTTTCATATTAAACGGAGTGCTTTTTAGGAGCTTATATATTTTATGTATTTAAAAATGTAAGAAGTGATTTTATATAAAAGTATATATTTGGGCATAAAGTAATAAAATCTCAATTTCTTTGTATTTACTATTGCTTTTTTAAAAATATAATTGTACATTGCAATTACAGTTATTTTCTTAATTGCAATTATGTATCATATTTGATAAATTTTTAATAAATATTGTAAATAATTCTCTTAATTATACAGATCCAGATGATCCATACAAATTAAATCAAGACACTCGTATGCTGGGTTTGGTAGTGTGCAGAGGAACATCTGTAGTGCTTATTTGTCCTGTAGATGGCATGGAATCTATTCAGAATCCGTTCATACAACAAGAAGGATAAACTAAAAAGATCTTTATCAATATATGTTACATCATACAAAAGAAACTTATCTTAATCTTTATATTGATTACTATTTCTATTTTTTAAATAAAAATATAATTTATTTTGCATTATTAATTGAGGAAGCTTACATATATAGGAAATAAATGCCATTTTCTTACAAAGATAAACGTTTTTATATCTATGTTTACAATAAATAATACGATTGCACATCTAAATAAGGTACTATGTGAACTCTTTATGATATACAAGCAACATATATAGAATAACAAGTTCTATATAAGTTGTTTCTACCATTTTTACTCAATTCCGAATTCGTTTCTTAACCATGGATATTGTTTTGGACATTCGAAGCATGTATGTAAATACCTATATGATTTAAGTACTTTACTAGGTAATTTGCAACTATTTGGCAAATCACAAGCCATCTCGTATGGTTCAAAATGTCTCTTCGTGCATTGCCATGGTGTAAACTTCTCAATTTCATTGAGAGGTGTTGGTCTACGCATCCATTCCACTATCTGATGATTCGTAACGAAAAATACATCGTCTAATCGAAGTAGATCGTCGATGAATTTCTAATTAAATATAAAAATAAATTTTTATAGATTAAATAGAAATAAAATTTATCAAATTAAGGAAGTCTGTAAACGGAAGTTATAATAATTTTAAGTATATTGCATTTTTTTAGTTTTATAAATTTTAGTATTATACATTTTTTAATTAATAAATTCATAAAAATTGATGTATACCCTAAATACCAACAGTATTCTTTTAAACATGTTAGAATAAATAACGGAAGTAATAATAGATAATAAATACAATTTCAAATAATTTCCTTTGTGTTAGTTAATAATAACCTTCATCGATTTTAATAGTAATGTTTAAAGTTTTACTTACATTAAATGCATAAAAATACATTGGATTTTGAAACCATGATGCGTGAAAATGTAGGCCAAAAGGTGCACGATTGGTAAGATAATGTCTTTTAAAATTCAGCATGAGTATCTTATAAACGTCTTCGCCAGATAAGTCAGAGAGGCATGAATCTACAGTACTGCATACATAATCCTGAACAAAAATACAACAAATAATTCTATATAATAAAGACAAAAAAGAGATAAAAAATAGAGACTATCGTAAGATGTCATGGAGAGTAATTATCATGGACGAAAGTTCGAAAAAAATTATTCTCTATTTCAATTTTTTAGATCGCTTTCATTGTGAAATATAAATTAAATTTAATAGACACATACTAGCATGAAAAGAAAATTCCATAAAATTAATTATAAGAACTTTTCAATCATTCGATCTTTCGCCATGTAGGAAGATTAAATTTTGTGTTATTTTATTCATTACAATATTCTACAATTAATAATCTTAGATTGAAGTGGTCTCAGCTTTTTATTTTTATTTGGTACTTATCAATCAATTTTCTCGGTTGCACGTGATTCATACGTTTGTCAAAAGTTGATTTAAAGGTAGTTCCCAGATATTTGGATAAGAACGAGTAGGACAAAGTTGACCTGCACGGACGCATGGATGCGGCGGTCTGTAATCAAGTGTGTAGGGCCAAAAGGGTGGGTCCGAGAAAGGTGCAACAATTGAGGAATCATAAACGTAGCCAAACTCAGACATCATCAGAAACTGGCGATTCCATCCGACTTGTAAAAAAGGCGCTCTTACTCCTACGATATATATATAGTATATTATTTATAATAAATACTCAATTTTTTAAATAAAATTATATTACATTGAAAGACCCGGCGATATTTGTTACAATCAAATTATATAATTTAAGTTTACATTACGCATGATAATTTTATCAATAAGCTTTCTAATATAATTTTAAAACTGAAAATAAGATTTCTACCTCTGATTTCTCCGATACGAACCGCTGCATATTTCTTGATGATGTTCGCTATTCCGACCATTTCGTCGAACCAATCTTCAATCGTCGCATTCTTCGACCACCATTCTTCCGGTCCACGATGTCTAGTAAATAAAGTGATTCATTTTTTAAAACATCGTATTGAATCAAAATGATTCTTTATATATAATGATTTTTTATTACAGTTCCCCTTTTTTATATTTGAAATATAAAATACTCTTACGTGACAGAATGTGCGGCTATTTCGTGACCGGTGTTCCACAAGTATTGCACATCTCTGTAATTCGTATATTGATGGCTAATATAGAAAGTACCTTTTATAGGGCAGCCATTAGGATTTTTTTTGTCATCCGTAAAAATTTCTGTAAATAATCGAATGATAATTTTCTCTGAGAAATCCTTAATTATGGAACAAGGAAAAAATTAGCATTAATTTGTAATTATTCACAAACAATTCTACAATTGATTTAGGTCATTGTAGATTTATCCGATCTTTTAAATAAAAAAAAAAAGAAAAAAGTTATAAATTTGTTAATTCAATCGACGGCATTAATTTTTTATTAACTTACTTGAGTAAAGTTCAAAATTTTCTGCATTTACAGCGTCATTAAAAGTAATTGTTATCATTTGTGGAATTGCGTGTGCAGTGAGATTTCCTGGAATTCGAGTCCCTTCCTCAGAACACCAACAATTTGGTAATTGACATTTTTCTGTGTCACAAACTGGCGCGGCATTTATATCATGTCGCATGTCTACAATAGATTAATATTTGTATTAACGATGTGCATTATAAATATTTTATTTTCATAATATAATCATAAAATAAAAGTGCCATTTTTCATGTTTTCTAATTTATAAACAAAAACATTTCAAAGATTCGAAATATTTTATGAAATAATGTAATTTGAGAAATTATAAACTTTTTTCTTTCAATCATTTTGCATTAATTTTAAATTTTCTATATCTGAATATTTAATTTTACCGTAATATCAAATGTTTATCGCAACAAAACTATCTATAAATGAAAAATATTCATCTCGAAGATTCTGCTCTAATTTGGGAATTATACAAAATTAAATCTTTTTCAATTATTTCGTATTAATTTTATATTTAAATATTTAATTTTATTGTAATATCGAGTTTTTATTGCAACAAAATTGTCTACAACTAAAAAAAATATTTATCGAAAAACCTGCTCGTTGAAATAATTGCACGCTCAGTAAAAAATTCTATTAGTATACAAATATGAAGAGATTAATATATAAGTTTGCGTATTGTTCGCATTTCTTACCACACCAGCCTTCATCGGAGCCATCGAGACAATCGACGCTACCATCGCAAAAATAAAGAGCAGGAAGACACGTGCCATCTCCGCAAGCCAAACTTTCCTCATCACATTCGCCATTCTTGAGTAATGGCTTTGCTGGTTGAGCATCTACGAGAAACTTTGAAAACTTCACATCACCATTCGGTATATAGTAATTATATTCTTTTAAACAAATAAAAAAATTCGAATTAGACTAATGAATAAATCAACTTGTTAACAACTTGTTCTTAATAACTTGTATTCACTCTGAAAGGCTTTTTGTTATTTGTTATATTTCTTTAAATTACAAAAACATAAAGACTGCATGAATCTTTCTGTATGAAAAAGAGCTTTAATTTTACTAAAAAATTAAAACAAGAATTATGTATGTTCATTGTGTATATTTTATTTGAAATAAAAGTTAAAACATTCATCAACTTTATATTCTTTGGCTACAATAATTATTTGCAGTAAATAGTTAGACATAATTTATATTACATAATTTAAGAGTATACTAACAACACGTGTGTTCCAAATTAGAACCAATGAAAAATTAAATATCCAAAAACAAAGAAATGATTAACACTTGTCGCTATTGTATGATTTTCCGGGTGAAAGTATTGCGTGTATAAGATTCGATCGCTTTCTTAAGAGTAGAAATCGGCATAAAGATTGCCAGTGTTTGTTTGTATCAGGGCTTGTCAGCCTTTCGTTCGCATGTTTCAGAATATATATAATATACATATATTCATTTAACATAAATCTAAAATATACCTGAAGTTACGTCGCAATTATTGACATTTGTCTTGAAATCACAAATCTGCCTGGAAACATCGAAAAGAAGTCCTTGCGAGCATTTAAACTCAAATACTTCGTTATCTGAAATATTATTTAACGATAACATATGTAAATTAAATTTTCTCTAAATTTCATATTACATATAGAATTGTATATAGAATTTTTATGATAAATCTACTATCACTAAGAATAATAAAAATACAATAAATAATATAAGTAATAGGAATAATTATCAATAACAAGACATTTTTTAGCATAAAAACAATTGTGAAAATATTCACGTAAAAGAACAGTAATAACAAAGAATATAGTATATATCCCTTACAGCACCTCCAGGGAACGTCCTTAGGACATCCGTATATCCTTCGAATATTCTAATATCTCCAGGATGCATCCTGGATAAAGTGTGCTATTAGGAATATATTATAGTATGTATATATTTTTACATGTAAAACATTCTTCAATATTATATAACTATATTCATAATTACAAATATTGTTTTCATAAGTCTTTTATCAAAAATACATATATAAAAAATAAAACTTAATTCAAAAATACTTATCTTTACAATGAATAATGTAAGTTATTAGCATTACAGTACTCTTTTCTTTGTACAGTAAGAATGTCTTGGTTTTGCAATTTCTATGTAAACTTGCACAGAAATATAAGATCAGATATCTCAAAACGTTTTATTATGTCCTTTAAATTTATTTATCGGCGAAATTAACTTGTAAAAGCACAATCGTTTTCCTTCTTTTATTCTAGACAAGTAATTAACAAAACTTAACTGATAATTTAAATGAATTTTCTTCTTTTATGTGATCTGTAATTACCTAAGCAGAGAAAATATTTAGCACATTCTGTAGGTGACCAGATGCTGTGCGATGGTGCTTTAGGATTACGATAGAACTTGTTGTCATCTATACAAGGAACTTCTCCGGATTTTCCTTTCTCCGCCATATCTTCAGCGAGATTCGCTGAAAATATTACGATGTAGAGGTATAAGTCGTGTGACCCACATTTTACTTGTTTTCAGATTTAAAAAAAATCAATAAGTCCTTTTTGTTCAAATTAATTATAAGTAATAACAATTATTGCAAAATTTGTGCACGT